GGCCCAAAGGGGGCCCAGCAGGGAAGTGGCAGTTCTGGTTCTTACCAAGGACCAGAACTGCCACCTTGTACCTTTGATCTTGTAGAATTAATAACTCATCTTTTGGCGGGCTTTCTCCCCATTTGCATGGCAATACTCCTGTCCAAAGGCAAGCACACGAAGAACAAGTGAGTTCTCTCTCAACACGGGCACTCGCTAACAAAGCTAGAAGAAACTCAAGAAACCAGGGCTTTAACAAGAGACCCATTACAAGAGCATTCAAGCCTGGCTGCCCCTTGGACTCCTCAGCCCTCCCCCTAGATCCTTTCCCTCTGCCTCCAAGGCTGCACCTAGGGGTGGATCTAGGGTTTAGAAAAGCGGGGTGCAGATGGTGTGGTGGCTCATCACGTATAACACAGCACAACACAACACAACACATTCACAATGCAACATATTCTTCTCCAGGTAAAAGGAAACTAGACATGTTACCAATATGCCAGGGGCCTGGAGATACATTATTCAGTTTGTGATTGAAGCAAGAACAAATATAGTCATATTGGAACCTGCAGAAACTTGCTATATCCTAGATTATGTACTAACAAGACAACAAGCTAGGCAAAAAATCAATCAAAAGAAGTAGTTTCTTTAGTCCCAGAGTTGTTTGATTTAAATGAGCATTTCTTTCAGAAATTTTACAATCTCTGCATTCTCCTTTGCCTGAGGAAGAGCGTGCGCGCCCAAAAGCTTGCAAATAAAAAGGTTTTTTTTGCAAATATCTAGTTGGTCTAATAAAAGACATTGCCTCTACCACAAGAGTTCTGACATTTCCTTCACATTCATCAAACCAAATCAAGCCTTTTTGAGCACCTTGATGTCTTGCAATGGGTCACTGAAAGTTATTTCCACACCTGAGTGAATGTTTCCACCTCTCGGTGAGTGTTTCTAGCACTGTAAACTAGGAGCGACATGACCAGGAGGAGCTCACACACAGCAGTGTTGCAGAAGAAAGGATGAGTGGCACATCAAGACCTTTCAAGAAGGAAAGAGGGTCATTAACACTGTTTCAAAGGGACCAATCAGGTAGATTATAATGAGCCATGAAGTCAAGTGTTCCCTTGCACCCCCCTTGGATCCGCCCCTCGCTGCACCCTCCCCACCGAGCGAACATTTCGGTTGCCTCGTGGCAGCTCAGTGCATTGATATGAAAACAAGCCCGGCACATGCGGCCGTCTTGGGCAAAGCAAGGAGCTCCGGCAACGGATGGGCTGATAATCGGGTAAGTAAACACCACGTGTCCTTTTTATCTTATGCAGCAGTGATGGGACCAAAATAAAGAGTCGGTAATTACTCCCCTTCCTCCGACTCAAATCCCCTTGCTCTCTCGCAGAAAACTCAATGCTGATTTTATTCCTGGCTTGTGGAGTCTGAATAGAGGAAGGAAAAAGAAAACCCAGACCATCTGCTGCCGATTCTTTGCAACGGAGGAAAATGCTTGCACGCAGAGATTTCCCGGGCAGGAGCTGAATGGGATAAAGCAGGAGGCTCATCTTGCCTTGGCTGTTCAGCTCTTTAATATAGGTTTGGACCCAGATGCTTTCAAAGGCAGCAACCGGGCTTGCACACGTAGACAAACTTCCTCAGATTTAAATATCCCTTTGAGCACATTGCTCCTGCTAACCGCACTCTGCAGAGCTATCGCTCCGCGCCGTGCTGCCTCATGCGGGACGATCTGGTAGAGCGGAGCCAACTCACCCGTAGAAAACACAGGTTTCTGCCTAGCTACAAGCATCCAGAGATGACCCAGGGCGTGGGGTCCATTTACAGCAGCAATGTTTTGTGTTGCAGGAAGGGAGGGTCGCGTCATGAAGCAGGAGGGGACCCCTAAGCAGGTAACACCCATGAAATAGATGTGCTGCAGGGCTAGGGGAGCTCTTGTAGAGACCTTTATGAACCTTAAACAAACACTTTTTACCTGTGCCGTCGGCTCCAACATATCACGACAGCATCATCTCGAAGCCAGAACCCCAAGCAGCAGTTTTTCTGCTGGATTTGTTGTTGTTGTATGGGTGCAAGAGTACACAGGAGGGCTGGGAAATGTGGCCTCCCAGGGAGCGAGTTGCAGGTGCAGTCCTCTCTAGGAGCAATGGATGGGAAGCGACTCTCACAACAAGGAGAGTGCACTGTTCTGGGAAGCGTTTGTGTGATCCGTTCCTACGCCACGTGGTCTAGCCTCAGTGGACAAAGGCCCCTTTTCGTCCGGGCTGTGCCAAAAGTAGCTGCTCTTTGCCTGGCATCGATTGACCTAGTTGTCTTCCCTGTGCTACTTGTGCATTATTGAACTGGGAAAACACTTGGAACCCAAACTAACCTGTGAGCTCTTTCCCCTTGCCCTCGGTGGGGGCATTTCTTTCCTCTTGCCTGGAACTTGGGTGTCCAAAGCAAAAGACAGACATGGGCATACCTGCCCTAAGCCAGGCAGACAAGATACCAGCATGTCCATCTCCCATCCACCAGCGGCTGAGCTGGGAGCGAACCCGGTGGGGGTGGGAGGCTGGTCTCCAAGTCCTCCTTTCATGGAAAACTCCCAATAAGGAACAGCAGCAATGTCTAAAACTTCCCTGGTTTCCACCCCACCATAAACCTCAGTTCTCATTCTCCAGCCAGCCCCACTTGCAAGCACTGCACAGAATAGTCATTAAATGAGAACGTCTGTTCACATTAGAAATTTTAATTGAAAAAAATCCCAAAATGTATTTTTCAAGTGGCTGCAGTCTTCCGAAAGGCTGGTGTTGAACAACATCATGGCATCTATCCAAGCGTCTCCTTAAAGAAATGTCTTGCCTGTGTAGGAAACACTCCTCACTCTGGCATCACTGGAGAAGTCATTACACATATTAAAAAACAAAGAAAATGCCTTTTTAAGAGCAGGTTATTCAGGCTGGAAAGTGAAGCACTGAAAGGTTTGAAATGGCTAGAATTCAGGTTGCAGAGGCATGACAGCAGCTGTTGAATAGCATCATCGCCTACTATGTTTGGGAGCCAGGACATGCTGATGCTCCTCCTGGTACTTGGAAAACCCTAGCTGAAGGGCCTGGCTCTTCCATTCGGGGTCGGACTCAGCATCACGTCTGGAGTCAGGAAGGAATGTTGCCCCTAGGTCAGACCAGCAGGGACTTCTCCCATCCTACTCCTGTCCCTCCCATCCTGGTCTGGCTCAACTCCCCCCTGCATTCAAGTCAAACGACTTTTGCATCCATTCAAGCCACGTGGTGGCAGAGGGGATAGCTGGCAACCCCCAAGATGCAAACTCCCTGCTCTCCATTTGAGTGCCCACCAAGCAGCTTGGAGCAGATTTGCCCCTGTAGCCCAAAGCTACAGCATGCAGCCTTGGCTGAGGTGGTGCAGAGGCATCCCATCACTTGTAGGAGCTACGGGGGAAGGAGCAAGCCAAGTCACAGACAGCTTCTTCCTGCTGGAAGTGAACGACTCTTGATTGAGCACGTGCAGGCTGTTATTTTGCATCCGGTTCACAGAATTTGGCCGAAAATGGACGGGTCTCCCTGGGGATAGCAAAGGCTGCTAAACTCCAGAGCGTGCACGTGCTAGAGCTCATGAGAGGTCGGCAGGCAGCCTCAACAGGGGCAGGACAGATTTTCTCCCTCTCTAGCCTGGTTTTTTCCCCAAACATGGCCAAACCCAAAAAGGTAGAGCCCAGAGCAGATGCCCAGCACTGAAGCTTCCCAGGTTGACAGGAAATGCTGAGAAAAATCATAAGCTGAAAACAGATGTTGAGAAAAATCAGGTGATGTCAGCATCATGTAACATGCCCCCTAAAATGAGACGTGTGCTTAGTTTTAGGAAGGAAAGAAGATTTTTCCAGACTCTCAGTTGGATCCTGACTGCAGAGATAGGGTTGTATCCTGCAGTGTCAGCAAAAGTTAGTATTTTAACCCTTTACGCCTGTTGCTGCATTGGCAATGGCTTTGGACAGCTCAGCCAGAAGCTGCTGCAGATTTGGAGACAGCCATGAAAGGGTTAACACTGCAGCTCTGCCCCTGAGCAGCAAAGTTTGCCTCCCTCTCCTGGAAGCAGCCACTACAGCTGCCCTTCAGGCTCCCAGCCCAAGCGCAGAAAGTCAGCTTCCCCGCTTAAGACACGCATCCCAACTTTAGAGAGCTGATTTTCAGTTAGAACAGTGCATATGGTATATGGGTAAATATGGTAACAGGCACCACAGCCAGCCCTACCTATAATAGCTCAAATCTCTTTACCAAACTGCTGCCAGCCATTGTCTATTCTGAAATGCCAGGGACAGGCGACTCGTTTCAAATCAGTCTGCATGTTCAGAGACACCAATGGGAGGAGGAGAACACAGGGGGAAATTTCTTGCAACCACTAATGCTGGCAAACAAAACAAATGAGTATCAAACTAATTCAGCAAATCTGTAAATACAGGCAGGTGCCCAGAGAATCTCAATCAAAGCAATTTTATTTTTTTTAGATGCTCCTCACACCGGAATTGTTGAGATGTCCGTTACCAGCTGGCATTTTATCCTATTAATTGATTAATTATGGAAGCACAACACAAGGCCCCAGTGCTTAAAATTTTGAAACACGGCCCGCTTTGGGGTCAATCGCACTCTACCCTGGTCTCCATCCGGCATGCACTTGT